ATAGATACAAAACAATTGGAATAACCTCCTGTGTTCTACCAGACCACCATGGTTTAAAGTTAGATTTCTTTTTTTTTTTTGGTTTTTCGAGACAGGGTTTCTCTGTGTAGCTTTGCGCCTTTCCTGGATCTCGCTCTGTAGCCCAGGCTGGCCTCGAACTCACAGAGATCCACCTGCCTCTGCCTCCCGAGTGCTGGGATTAAAGGCGTGCGCCACCACCGCCCGGCTAAAGTTAGATTTCAACAACAACAAAAACTACAGAAAACCTACAATCTCATGGAAACTGAATAATGCTCAACTGAATCACCAATGAATTAAGGAAGAAATAAAGAAATTAAAGACTTCCTAGAGATCAATGAAAATGAAGACACCACATACTCAAACTTATGGGACACTATGAAAGCAGTGCTAAGAGAGAAATTCATAGCACTAAATGTCCACATAAAGAAGTTGGAAAAATCTCACACTAGTGACTTAACAGCACACCTGAAAGCTTTAGAACAAGAAGAAGCAAAGTCTCCCAGGAAGAATAGACACCAGGAAATTATCAAAGTGAGAGGTGAAATCAATAAAATAGAAACAAAGTGAACAATACAAAAAATTATTGAAACAAAGAGTTGGTTCTTTGAGAAAATCAACAAGATAGACATGCCCTTATTCAAACTAACCAAAAGACAGAGAGAGAGCATCCAAATCAACAAAATCAGAAATGAAAACGGGGACATAACAACAGGCATTGAGGAAATCCAGAGAATTATCAGGTCATATTTCAAAATCCTCTACTCCACAAAACTGGAAAATCTAAAAGAAATGGATAATTTTTTGGATAGGTACCACATACCTAAGTTAAGTCAAGAACAGATAAACTATTTAAATAGCCCAATAACCCCTAAGGAAATAGAAACAGTCATTAAAAGTCTCCCAACCAAAAAAATCCCAGGACCAGATGGTTTCAGCACAGAATTCTCCCAAATCTTCAAAGAAGAGTTAATACCAATACTCTCTAAATTGTTCCACACAATAGAAACAGAAGGCACATTACCAAATTCCTCTATGAGGCTACAATTACCCTGATTCCTAAACCAAACAAGGATGCTACAAAGAAAGAGAACTACAGACCGATCTCTCTCATGAAAATTCTTTTAATTTTCTTTAAATTATTTAGAAAATAATTTGCAATAGGTCATGTTGTATACATTCTAAAAATGATATTTGTATATTTTTTGTAGGTTGAAGGGATATTTGTGTGCCATGGTGAACACATGGAAGTCAGAAGACAAGTGTAAGAATTAGTTCTTTTCTATCATGTAAGTCCCTGGTAGTGAACTCATATTGTCATGCATGATTATAAGTGCCTTGTGTTGATCTGAATGAGAATGAGTACTTGGTCCCCAGTTGGTGGAACAGTTTGGGAAACGTTAAGAGATGCCGCTTTGTTGGAAATAGAGTGTCATTGTGGGTGAACTTTGAGGTTTCAAAGACCTCTGTTATTCCCACTTGGATCTCTCTCTGCTTCCTGCTTATAGATCAGATGTAAGCTCTTAGCTACTGCTCTAGCACCCTGCCTACCTGCCTCCTGCTATAATCCATGCAATGATGGTCATGGACTCACCTTCTGAAACTGTAAGTCCCAATAAACTCTTTCTTCTGTAAGTGTCATTTTTGATGTCTCTTCACAACAACAGAAAAGTAACTAAGGCAGAAACTGGTACCAGGAGTAGGATATTGCTATAACAGACCTACCTGACTATGCTGTTCGTTGAAGGAATGTAGAAGACTTTGGGAATTTAGAGAAGGAAATCTGTTGAATGTTGTAATCAAGGCTTAATAGACCATTCTAGTAGAATCTTGGAAGACAACAATGCTGAGAACAATATGGACTATGGAAGCCCAGATTAAGAGGTTTCAGAGGGGAACAATACTAGCACCTGGGCTGGAGACAGGCCATTCTTGTGATATTTTAGCAAAGAATGTGGCTGCTTTCTTTCCTTTTCCAAAAAATCTTCCTGAGGCTAAATTAAAAAATTGGGGACTAATTTCATCCACAGAGGAGATTTCAGGGAAGCCTAATATTGACTCTGTTGTATGTCTATTAGTGATCACTTTTATGCAGGTCTACAATACAAAAGAACAAGTGGGGCAAAAATAAGTACATGATATTTGAGGAGAAAAAGAGCAGCAGGAAATTCAGTGTTGGAGCTGAGACTTGTACTGAAAGAGTTAAGAACCACGATGCTTAATGGAATAAAGGGAATTGTGCCCTCAGGTCAAAACACCACCCAGTCAAGCTTCCATTTGTAAAAATGAAATGCCCACAGACATTTCTGTACCTGAAAACAACTACAAAAGAATGTTGATACAAATGTGATTCAAGGAGGGGCTCAGGATTCATCCCAAGCATCACCAGTAAGACTCTTTGGGCCTGTACTTTATTTATTGGAAGATCATTCATAGATTCATAGATTCAATCTTCTTGCTCTGTTTGTAGTTTGTCATGAATCCATCATGGTGAAATTCGTATTTCTTGGAATACAACATTTGTTGGCACACAGTTATTTACAAAATTCTATTATAATACACTTTGTTTTTTACAATGTCTACTGCTTTTGTCTAGTTTTATTTTCTGAGTTGGCTCTTCACTATGGTAAGGATGTTTTGCTTGCACATATGTCTGTGTATCACTTGTGGACCTGGCGCCTATGGAGGCCAGAAGAGAGAATCAGATCTCTTAGAATTTGAGTTACAGACACTTTTGAGCTACCATGTGGGTTCTAGAAACTGAACTCTGGTCCTCTGGAAGAGCAGACAGTGTTCTTACCTACTGAACTATCTCTCCCAGCACACTTCTTGGCTTTTTTATTGCTTATTCTTTTCTGCATCTCACTGATCTGTGGTCTAACCTCTTTAATTCCCTTCTTCTTTCTAAATGTGGGATCAATTTGTTCTTTTCTGACTCACTGAGCTTGGTGTTATTGGGCTTTTTCATGCAGTGCTTATTGGTATTAATTTACTTCAGTACTCACTACCTTTTATGCATGGAAAGACTAAAGGTAAGCTTTAATAATATTTGAAGGGTTGAAATTATATAAAATATCATTTCTTGTCATAATCAGATGAAACTAAAAAATAATGTCAGCGAAAGAACAGGAAATTCCATAAATATATCAATATTTACCACAAAGCAAGGTAAAAATCATACAGGAAAGCGTAACACCCCACAACCATGCAAATGAAAACCCAGTGTTCCAAACACTTGGCATTCCCTGCATTTCCACTCTTTACACCCCATGTTCTTTCTCCCCTCTATATCCTTATATTACCCCTGCTCTCTCTCTACTTTATGACCTCTTCTTCTTTATTACTGGTATGTGTGCATATATGAATAAACCTGAGCCCATTTAGTTTTGCTCATATGTATATGTGTTTAGGACTGGCTCCTTGGTAACCTATTCTGGGGCTTGAACTTGAGAAAATGGATTCTCCTACTTTTAGTGGCCATTGATTTTGCAAAGTTCCTCATTTGGGAATAGAGTCCATTTAGTGCTGCCTATATACTCTTAGGTATATGGTCATCCACTGGAGTGTGTGAAAACTAATAGGAACACACCTGCCACACTCTACATGGCTTTAGGGACTGACCTGACTGGAGCAACAGGGGAATGAAGAGAGGACAGATTTACAGATAAAAGTACAAAAGGGCAGGGATTGGGTGACCATGTGCTCTCATGGAGACCACACACACACAAAACAGGAACTCAGAAAGTTTATTATATACATTTAGATGGAGAAGTCAGATGTATGGTATACAGCTAAATAAGGAGGCAAGTTTAGCTAATCTCCATAGGGGAGGCTCTATAGTGGGCAGTCTCAGGCAATAAACATTTGGGAGCAGCAACTGTGGTTGATAGTTTCTATGCAACACTAGTCAATCATTTGTAAACACTCATACTTGGATCAAAGGAAGACTTTGCTATTTCTCTAAGCCTCACCTGAGGAAGGCTTTGCCATTTCCATGGATCATATTAACAACAGACATTTACTTGGCACTTCATTCACTCCTTACACATGGTCTGTAATATTTGGGCATCTATGATAACTCACTTGCCAACAGCTCCAATAGAGGCAACCCATTTTTGCCATTGGGCTTCTTATTTGTTAGCCTGTGATATCTAATAGAGGTGATATTAAGTTTATAAGTTTATCCATTTTAAGTTAAAAATTATTTATGTGAGAAAGAGCACCCGATAGGTAAAATAAAAGAGAAACAACAGGTTACTTTGTCCAGGCTCATTGTTCTGAATATTGACTTACAGTTCTGTGAATAAATAAGCTCTAATAATAATCATCTGCTTTCCTTAAAATGGTCACTTAATTTATTCCTTGTTTTAATGTTATCACTCCATATTGACTGTTAGAAATACCATCAAAGCTATTATAATTATAGAGTAATGGATAAAAATAATAATTATAAAAACCCTTTGACCTTAGAAGAAGGCAGTAGCCAAAACTATCCGTATCAATGTGAGGACTGGACCGGCCCCTCTGTGTACAGGAAAGGGTAACCAAAGTTCACAATCCCTACTCTGTGCAGTGACTTGCTGTTACCTGACCTAGAAGTTCTGAGTCGAACTTCTACCCCAAACAGAGTGTCACCCACGGCCAGTTGCAAACACTGACCCGTGGGAATACTAGTGATTAAAACAATCAAGAGGCTGATGGGAATGGCAGAGAAGACTTTATTATTAGGTAGTATAGAAAAGGGACCTAGGAAACTGGGTATCAGTTGAAGATCTTGGACAGGAAGATTTCAACATATCAAGGACTAGGATGTAGGACAGGGGTAGAAGACAGGACTGGCAGGCAGCTGCAGGTCTTCCGAACTTGATTCCTCCTACACCATTTCCCTGAAGTCTTCCTCATCCAGGTCAGCAGCAGCCCCCAGACTGCTGGCTACTGCCACAGCTGCTGCTGCTGCTGCCACCACAGCAGCCACCGCTGCCACCACTGCTGCCACAGCAGCCACCGCTGCCGCCACTGCTGCCACAGCAGCCACTGCTGCTGCCACCGCTACAGCATCCAGAGCTGTGACGATGGCGACGGAGAGATCTGCGGGGCCTGTGGTGGCTCAGGCAGCAGCCACCACCCCCAGAGCTGCAGCAGCCTCCAGAACTGGAGCCACAGCCTCCCCCAGAGCTGGAGCCACAGCAGCCCCCAGAACCCAGGCTACAGCAGGAAGACACAGGGGGGCACTTGGGAGGACACTTGGGGGGACACTTTGGTGTCTGGCACTTGGGAGGGCACTTGGGGGCACACTTGGGAGGGGGCTGGCACTGTTGCTGGTTCTGCTGGCAGGACATCTTGGACTCTGGGTGTTCAGAAGCTGCAAGAGAATCACACACATGTCAGATACCAGACACCACTATGGCTACCTGGCTCATTGTGACCACCAGAAGTGTCATTGATAATTATATAACCACCACCTATAGTCATTTCAATTCTAACATACTCATATAATCATGTCATGTTCATCATGACTTTGAAATCTCAGACACCCATGCAAGTGAGACACTAATCATCACCTGGTATCCATCAGTACCAAATGAATAAAAAACTACTGACACTGTAACAAGTTTGGTAGTCTTAATCCTCATAGATCTGAGAGGATTTGGATTATTTCAGAGAAAAGCAATTGTTAAAAGAAAGAGCAATCATCGTGTGAAGGTGATTTTTGTTTAAGGTTGGTATTTCAAGGAACTTCTAGATTACTGATGGGGAAGTAAGGTGATCCCCTGAAGAAAAATATGTAAACTCTCTCAAGCGTGCCTTGAGAACAGTAGGTCCTGCTGTGAGGTCAGAGTTCAGAGGTATCCAAATCACCACCTGCCCAGGCTAAGGGTGGCAAGGTGTCATCCTGGTGATGTCCTGTTCCTCAGAAAAGTGTGTGAACAGATCCCAGTACAAGGGCTCTCATTCTTTCCCAAGTCAAAGTGAGAGTCTGATCTGTGATTGGTATGTAAAATGAATAAAAAATTTCTTAATTAAAAAAAGAATGTGGGAAAAAGTCAAACAAATAAACAAACAAAACAAAACAACAACAACAATAACAAAGTGATAGCCTGTTGCCCTTTCCTCACTAGAGCTCTTCTTCGGAAATGAGAGATAGATTGTCTTCGTAGGCCAACTCCCACCTGAAACCTATCCCCATGAACACAGTTCTCTATGCTCAGTGTCCCATCCCGAGGGTTCCTGTAGACTGAAGATATTTTGTTCTTTCCAGAGCCAGAATGCCCCAAGCATTCCAGTGTCTCTCAGAACTGTGGTTTGTGTGTATCATTGTTGCCATTGCCTCACCCCTCACTCTTCACCACATTCAATGATCTACCAATATGTCCTATAGTCAAAAAAAAAAAAACCCTTCCCAGTCCTCTTTACAACTCTAGGCTGGCAACCCCTCTGGAAAAGTCCCTGCTCTTGCCTCCTGTGCACACTTACCAAGATGATGGGCAGCTCAGAATCTGTGGGTATCTCAGGAGGTGAGTGGATGGAGGCACCCTGTGCTTCAGCCCTTTTATTCTGATCCTGGCCTCTGCCTTAGCCTGTCAGACAGTGTCTGGACAAGGTAGGCTCTGTCTGCTGACACCACATGGTCATGTGACAGATAATGACCAGATGTTCCTCACCAACCTTATGAGGCCAGGCATGCTGCATCTCTCTTAGACCATGGCTTAGGCATGAAAGGAGGAAGTGGATTCCTGGGTCCTTAACCCTGGCATACCTGCAGAGTACCTGAATGGGAACCAGTCACTTCTTCATTGTTTTTCTTTTCTGTTCCTTCTTAATGTGATATGTGAAGTATATAGACCACATCAAGGTAGTAAAATTTGAAGTTTCTTCCAAACCTTTGTTTCCTCTCTGCACTTTCCCAACTGTGCCTACATAAACCTAGTTTAAACATCTACAACTGCAGTAAAAGCCTGCAAGATAGATCCTGGACAGCACCACATTTGTTGAGGTGAGGTTCTGAAAGTCTGTTTAGGCTGTGTCATTTCTCATTTTAACTAGGACAGTACAATATTAAGGATAATTCAAGACTTATGAAAATAAATGAAACATCAAATGATTATGTATACTTCACAAAAGACACATGCAAACTTCTAAATACAAGAACATGGCAAGTGAGAGATGGCTCATCCGTGAAGAATGCATACTGCTCTTGTAGAGGATCTGAGTTTGGATCCTAGGAACTAAGTGGGGCAGCTCACAACCACATGTAACTCCAGCTTCAGAGCATCTAACACCCTCTTCTTACCTCCAAAGGTACATGCAGTCACATACACATGCACACAGAGATACACACAGACACACAGACACACACAATATAAAATTAAAATATAATCTTTAAAAATAGAAACAGAAATAAGATTAAGAGGTTCAATAAGTAATATGCATGAAAATGACCCAAGGAAACCCAGTATTTGGCAAAATTAATATTCATTAACAATAATAAAGCAGCAATTGTGTCCAGAGAGCGTGGACATCCTTATTTTATGTTTCTTTACATTTGTCTCAGTAAATATATTTATATAATATATTTCATGAATTTACATGAAATCCTCATTTAGGAATACACTACCTTGTCCTTACTATTTCAATATTATTGGATACTCTGTAGAAGTCAGCACATTTCTTTCATGCAATGATGTGTATTACTAGTGAGTGAGGTCAGATGGCACATTAGTAAGAAGAAAATCAGGAAAAGGGGTTCACATGACATTGAGGGAATGATATTGTTCACCTATGAGAAATAAAGAATAGAGTCAGTCTATTCCTGCATATGAGACAAAGGGCTAATGGGCCATATCCCTCACCGAAGAAGGTAGGTTATTTTAAAGAGAATCATTTATCAGTAGTTCACAAGAATGTGTTCCTGTGGTCATTAGACCCCTATTCTCTCTGTGTGCCTCTGATTTTCATTTGTATTTTACATGACTATAGGCTATATATGACCACAATATTTAGAACTTTTTTCTTTTCAAGATTTAGTAGGAGTAGTTATTATTCATCATAGAAGAATATGGTTGTAGAGAGTTATAATTTAAGATTACCCTAAATCTAAAAACAGTCAGTGAGAAGAGGCAAAGACATATACAAACTAAATTAGCAAAATCTTTCCTCCTTAAATGCTGATGAATTTCAAGGCCTTGGGAATAACATGAGCCTGGGACACAGGAGCATGGTCAGCACTAAGAAAATAGAGTACAGAAACATGGGTACTTATAAACGTATCGAGTCCCATAGAGAGAGATGCATACCTCCCTGACTTCTGTTATTTATTTTCCTCTGTGGATCATCTGTCTCCAAATCTTTTAAGAAATACATCTAATATTTACACATACCTAAAGTTTTTTTTAAATTGTTTTATTCATTTTACACACCAACCTCAGATCCCCCTCTCATCCCTCATCCCATTTCCCCCTCCAACCATGGTCCCTAAAGCCCCTTGATCTTTCATTTACTATGTTGTAGCATTAGACCCATAGAAGACCCTAACACTCCCAGTGATATCTACCAAAACGTCATTAGCAAAGACTTGTTCAGGAATGTATACTACTTAACAAAAGTAGAAACTCTTATGACACACAGCTTTTCATGCTACTTTACCTGAAGCATTTCCCACCTGCTCTTGAATGATACTCTTTTCTTTTCTTTTCTTTCTTTTTTTTTTTGGTTATGATTTTCTCTAAATCATATGTTACAAACTCCAGCTGCTATGATAATGCAGCTGAGGCCCACATTATTTTTCTTTTAATCCATGATGTTTAATGTAGTCATGAGGAATTCCTTAACAACCTTTCTTAGAATTTTTGTTTCTTCTCTGTAGTTGAGCACAATCATCCTGTAGCTATGTGGTGATGTCTAAGCCTACCACTGGAATGTTCATTGATGTGCAAGCTTAGAAATAGATTCTCCTAAGGACATGGGTCACCCCAATGGAACCTGAACTCTGAGGCAGACTGAGGTAAGTGTGTCCATGTGACCTTCAGAAACCTTTCACTGTCTCACATTCTTTGATTTTAGTCTCCTTGTTCCAAAAGGTTTAGCAACATGGAGAGGCCAGAACCGGATCCCTGATTTCCACAATGGCAATTATGCATGGCTCATCTTAGGACTTCTAGGATGATGTGGCTGTGATGTCAGCTACTCCACACTTCTGCCTCTATGCAGGGCAACACCCAGGTCTTCAGCTGACCTCTTGTACACAGACAGATGGGTATCAGTAGTATGCTATCTAGTAGAAGAATAGTGTCAGCCTAAAATGTGAGCTCTGGAGACTTAGGCTGCAAGACAACATAAATGTTTTGACCAAAATTTGTTGACATTCTGAAGGTTTCAGTTTTCAGAAATGGGGGGTGAGATATGTACTCACTCATAGGAAGATGCTAGATGTGGAACAAGGATGACTGGGCTGCTACTCACAACACCAGTGAGGCTACCTGAAAAACGGGACCCCCAAAAAGACATGGAGAAATGGATGAAATCTACATGAACAGCCTGGTCATGAGTGGGAACAATGAAGAGCAACGGTCGAGGGAAAGAGAATGGGAGATCCTAGCTGGATCAAGAAAAGAGAGGGAGAACAAGGAATAGGAGACCATGGTAAATGAAGACCACATGAGAAGGGGAGGAAGCAGAGAGCTAGGGAGGCCAACGATGACCACAAAGATACCCCCGCAAAAGACTGCTGGCAATGGTCGAGAGACGGCAGGAACTGACCTACTCTGGTGATGGGATGGCCAGACACCCTGATAGTTGTGCCATAAACCCCATCCAAGGACTGAGGAATCTGGATGCAGACATCCACGGCTGGGCCCCTGGTGGAGCACTGGGAGTCTAATTAGTGAGAAAGAAGAGGGTTTATATGAGTGAGAATTGCTGAAGCCAAGGTTGGATAAAGCACAGGGACAAATAACCAAATGAATGGAAGCACAGGATCTATGAACCAAAGGCTGAGGGGCCCCCAACTGGATCAGGCCCCCTGAATGGGTGAGACAGTCTTTTGGCTTGATCTGTTTGGGAGGCAGCTGTGCGTTGGTGCTGGGTCCTGAGCTCGTTGCATGAGTTGGCTGTTTGAATCCTGGGACTTATGCAGGGACGCTTGGCTCGGTCTGGGAGGGGGGGACTGGACCTGCCTGGACTGAGTCTACCAGGTCGACCCCGGTCCTCGGGGGAGACCTTGATCTGGAGGAGGTGGGAATGGGGGGTGGGCTGGGGGGAGGAGGAGGGGGGGAGGGGGAGAACGGGGAAATCTGTGGCTATTATGTTGAACTGAGTGGTGTTGTAAAATAAGTTAAAAAAAAAGAAATGGGGGGTGAG